AGTGTCTCCTTTGTCAACATCCTTCATAAGCTCGCTTCCTTAAAATGAACATTGAAGGATCTCTGTCTTTAGATAAGCAAGTTTCCCAGCTGGTGTGAAAGGAGAAACGGCCCTTTTCACTTCACCAGAAACTAATCTAGGGCTTTCGTGATGGGTGTTACAGCAGGTAGGTTGTAAACACAATTGGGAAACCTCAGCGTAAAACTGAGAAAAGCCGTCTCTTCTGCTTCCGCACTTAGGGGCAGCTCTTAGTCAAGAGGACTAGGAATCCAAGAAATTAGGCACAGAGCTTAGAGGAATTCTGCACTTTCCTCTGCACTTTCCAGGCCTCTGCTTGTGCCTCCAGGCTTCTAGGTCCCAAGGCTGCCCCTCCCCCTCATCTTGCCCCACCTTCCCCCCACCTGGGGTCACTGTGCTTAGATCGGGTACCCTGTGCACCCCGGGATTGCCTGTCCTGTTGCCCCAGACCACTTACAGTAGACAGTCTGGACCTTGCCCTTGGTCCAGTCTCTTGAAGGTGGACTGTGCTGCCCCCACTAAGACCAGGGAGCAGCAGCCAATGGGATGGAGCCAGAGGCGGGAAGGGAAGGACGCCAGGCCTCAGCTAGCCTGAGTCCTCGAGTTCCAGAGCAGGGCACCAAGGAGTCGGAGGTTCTCAATTCAAACCTGTCTTCCTGGGTCCTGATGAAGAGCTATGCATCGCGGTAGGAGGATAAAATAAATCTAGTATAATTTTTACATATTTAAGTATTTGGTATGAGGGCCTGCATTTGCTTTCTGGCATGGGCTCTGCAAAGGTTAGTGGGGCCTTTCCCCTCCTACCTCCTGCCCAGCCGCCTCAGTTCTCAACATATTGCCGGTGGCCACAGGGTCTCCTGTGTCCCTCCACCACCCCCCCACCCCTGGCTGGGGTTCGGGCAGATGCGTGGGGCCAAGGTGAGCCCGGGCACGGTAAGATCCTGTCTTTATTTGAAATGTTGATATTTTATTCAACATTAATTTTTTGACATTAATTTCTAAAAATATTGCACAAAACATGATTTCTCTTGAATCTTGAGTTTTCAGGGTCACCCGAATTCTATGCCTGAGAAGGAGGGCCTCATTACCCTCCTGCCAGTTCTTCCTCTGCCTTTTCAAGCCTCTTTCCTTTCCCATTTCTTCCATGGCAGCCCGGGTTCCAAGCCTCCTCTTCTCCACTGGTCAGCCTCTAATTTCCGGCTCCCATCCATCCTCAACCCTGACCCAGCATTACCTTCCTGAGTATAGGCTGAGCTGTGAGCCTCTCTCAAAATCCTTCAAAGCTTCCCTGCCTCCTGCAGAATCCGAAGCCTGCCATATTCACTAGGCTCCATGTTCTCTAGGCTTCACGTTCTGGGTCCTGCTAACCTTTCTGGTTTCCTCCCCAGTCAAATCCCTCAGTTCTGTGCTTGTCTATCACACTGCCTCTGGGCTGCTCCAGTTCATAATTTGACACACATTCCGCTTATCTCCTTCATGGCCTTTGTAATGGATCTTTCTCCACAGCAACATAGATCTTCTCCCCTGCCTCACGGGTGTCCCAGTGATGCCTCAGACTTGATCTTAAGTTGGAGCCTTAGGCTGACTTTCTAAGCAGCTACAGCAAAGAGCTACGGAAGTGACCTCCTTTGTCCCCAACCAGTTACTCCACAGGACACCACAACGTCTTCTATTTGACAGTTTCTTTCCCCCTCTGAGGTCCTCCACAGGGACCTGGGATAGGGCAGGGCCGCTAGACCCCAACCCCGTTACATGCAGACCCCATGAGTGTGGCCAGCTGCGAGCGCCAGTGCCCCTCCAGCCTGTGTAGGCAACGAGGGAAAGGAGGGCCTTTTGAACACTTGCCATCAATGCCCCCTTGAGATGGGTCTGAAGGTATATTCTGATTTCTGTGAAATCCAAAAATCAAGATGGATTCATTTGCTAATGTGAGGTAAGAGCCACTTCCCCCAGCCACCCCCACGACGATTCAAACCAGCACCTTTGAAGCTCATGGCTATCCCCGGGCACCTGAGGTCAGTGGTTCTCTCCAGTTCTCAAGGATCAGAGTAGGAGAGGTGATGGCGGTGCTCGGTCCCCATTGCCATGTGCGTGGGGATCTCTATCCGTACAGATACCCACAGGTCGAGAGATGCTATAGTTTCCATGCCATTCTTACCGTTCAGACTCCATTCTCTGGGTCTTGACGTCTGAAGGGAAGAGATGGAAAACTGGAGGACATCAGAAACGGTGACACTCACTCATCATCTAGCCCTCCTGATGCCCCCAAATGTTGGTGCATTTGTCTCCCAGGGCTGTGGCAACAAATGACCACAAATCGAGTGGTTAAGACAACAGGCATTGGGGTGCCTGGGTGGCTCGGTGGGTTAAAGCCTCTTCCTTCAGCTCAGGTCATGATCCCAGGGTCCTGGGATCGAGCCCCGCATCGGGCTCTCTGCTTAGCGGGAAGCCTGCTTCCTCCTCCCTCTCTGCCTGCTTGTGATCTCTGTCTATCAAATAAACAAATAAAATCTTAAAAAAAAAAAAAAAAAGACAACAGGCATTTATTCTTTCACCATTCTGGAAGTTAGAAGTCCAAAGTCAAGATGTCTGCAGGGTGGGATTCCTTCTTGAGGCTTCGAGGGAGAATCTGCTCCATGCCTCCCTTCTAGGGTCTGCTGCTTGCCTGCAGGCCTCCGTGTTCCTTGGCTTATAGACACATGGCCCCATGGCAGGCATTCTCCCTGGGACTTCTGTGTCGGTATCTCCGTCCAGATTTCCCTTTTCTTATAAGAACACCAGTCATTAGATCAAGATTCGCCCCAATCCAGCATGACCTCATCTTAATCACATCATCAACGACCTCTTTCCAAATAAGGCCACATTCAAACGTACCTGGAGTGAGAACTTCAACTTTTTTTTGGGCGGGGGGACAGGGGGACACAATTCAACCCACAATAATAGATATCGTTCTAATCTGCATATTAAACGGAGACACAGAGTAATTTACTCAGAGAGACACAGAAAATAGTTGGTATAACTCCGTTTTTAATTTGTCTTGACCTGATTATTACCACTTAATAATTGCTTGTATGAGGCCCTCTGCTGGGTGCTTCATTTCCACGTCTAATCCTCACAGCAACTGCATATGCTCATTACCCCCCATTTTACAGAGGCGGGAGCGCACGGAGCGTTTAAGGAGCTTGCAGAGTCCCATGAATACAAAGCGGCAGATCTGGGAATCCATCCCTTAATTCTCACCCAAGTCAACCCACTAGAATATCTCTGAGATGTCTCACTCCTCCTTCTCACTCCTCCTCGCTCCATATCCCTCAGTGTAAGTCCCTCCTGCAGCTGAGAATCATGACTATAAAGGATATGTTACTGGAATTTTCCAAGAGATCAGTGTAAAGTTAAAACCGATCATTGGGATCACAGCACAGCAACTTGCTACCTCACAGCAGGTACGAGTCTGATGAGAAAGACCAAGTCTTCATCTTCCTCTGGCAGCCAGGGAGGAGTTGCACGGAAAAACCAGGGCAGTGAGTCAGGCCCATTAAAGAACAATGTATGGGGCGCCTGGGTGGCTCAGTGGGTTAAAGCCTCTGCCTTCAGCTCAGGTCATGATCTCGGGGTCCTGGGATCGAGGTCCGCATCGGTCTCTCTGCTCAGCAGGGAGCCTGCTTTCCTTCCTCTCTCTCTGCCTGCCTCTCTGCCTGCTTGTGATCTCTCTCTCTCTCTGTCAAATAAATAAATAAAATCTTAAAAAAAAAAAAAAAAGAACAATGTATGTCACAACTGATCACTTCCCCACAGGCCGCTGCACATGCCCTGAGGCCACTTCTGGGTTCTAACGGGCACCTCACTGGGAAGAAACATCTGTGATCACAGTGGGGAGGGACCGAGTCTCAGCCAAACCCACAGAGTGGCTACTCATACTGCCTCATTCTTCCAGAAAATAAAAAATCAAAGGCATCACTTCCTGGCAGCTGCTGGGCACTCCTCCTTCCTCAACGTCAGAGATGTGTCTCCCGCACGGTCCACATTCCGGTGCCTTGCGAACACAGCAGCCCGGACACAGAGCCCTTCAGGCAGTGAGGAAGCCGCAGAAAGTTCCTCAAATCAACACAAGAGCACGAGTGAGAAAGCCCTCAGCCCCATGGCGCTAGCTAAGGTTTGACCAGCACTTACAAGCTCGGATTGGTTTTGCTTCTATTATCTCAAAACGGTACCACATGGGTAGGGGCTATGGAGGCAGGTGGACGCAAATGCCAAAGCTAGCTCTCCCGTGCACCACCTCTGGGGACTTAGGTCGTTTTTCTTCTCTCAGCCTGTTGTCTTGCTTGTGAAATGAAGACGCTGCCACAAACTCACAGAGATGGTATAAGGATTATTAACAGAGCACTCTGACTCTTGATTCCAAAGAAGGAATGAATATAAGCTACAGGTAGGAATAAAACACTGGTTTAAATTCGATCTTATTTATCTTATCTCATGTACCTAAATTTCTATCTGAAAGAGACCTGGCTTGGGTTGACTGGGTGGCTCAGGTGGTTAAGCGTCTGCCTTCGGCTCAGGTCATGATCTCAGGGTCCTAGGATCAAGCCTTGCATCAGGCTCCCTGCTCAGTGAGGAGCCTGCTTCTCCCTCTCTCTCTCTGCCACTCCCCCTGCTTGTGCTCTCTCTTTCAAATAAATAAATAAAATCTTAAAAAGAGAGAGAGAGAGGCCTGGCTTAAACAATAAATGAGAGCACAGTCCCAGGTGCATCTAGGATATGAAAACAGGTGGCAGGATGAGATTGGTGGGATTGGTAGACACGCTCATTTCTTTCATTTGTTCGATATTATCCTACTGAATACAACACACACACACACACACACACACACACACACACAAACTGGATGGGGTTTGGGCAAAGATGTGCTGGAAAGGGACCCGGGCCCAGGACACCTCTCAAGTAGGCGAGAGTATACAGGAGGTAGAAGGAAAACAAACAACCAAAAACAGACTCGTGTGTCTCAAGAAAGCATACAAATAAAAGAATATAGGAAAAATAAATTCGTAACGGTTTAGCAATTTGCCTCGCCTTTTTAATTGATGTCTATGATTTTATTATTACTAAAATCACATTGTTCATTAACAGTAGTTTCCCACGACTTAAGTCTGTAAATACCTTATGTTCAGTTTTATACTGATGAGACAAAATCCTAAAGGGCAGGGATGAAGTTCTACCCAGCCGCGCATCCCTGACTCAGTGTTCGGAAGAGAGATGACAAGTGCCGCACGGGTCTGTGTGTCTCTAAGGGCGTGGCGTAGAGGCACCTGCTTCTGACAGCAGCTCTAGGCACCGCTGAGCAACTCCCGCTCGTCTTGAAATGGGTGCACCTGCGGAAGTAACGTGTACTCTCTCTACCCACCCTGGAGCAAGGAAAATCTATAACATGGTTGCAAAACGGATATAATTATGAAACGGCACTTAAGTCAGAAAAAACACGGGGAGTAGACAGATTGTTGGCTACATTTTTGTTCACTGAGAGTACCAATCCGTTTCACAAAACAAGCTTGAGAGAAAGACAAACGGAGTCCTTTGTCTTGTCAGTTACAATTCATACAAAAATAGGCTCCAATATCAGCTACATAACCACTCAAATACAATTGAAGAAGTATCAAAAAAAACTCATAAAAAAAAAAACCAGCAGCAGCAAAAACACCGAACATTTGTAAACAAAACCACCAGGAACAAACCTATGCTTAATAACCAAAAAAAGTGCATTCTTTTTAAAACATTAAATATATATAATAAAAAACAATATTGGCCACTTTTTTCCCTTAATATACAGTACTCAACATCTGCAACAATCTGATCAATGATAGACAGGAATCGGTGTTCTAAGGCATGTTGAACAGTCTTTTCCACAATACTCGAGCATCACGTTGCTGCAGAAGGTAAACTTTGCCAAAGTCTCCTCCGAGCTGTGATCCGCGCACACCGGGGGCACTCAGAGGACTGGAAACACTGCTTGTGAAAGCACGCTCTGCACCCTAGAGCAGGAGGACAGCCATCAGCGAGCAGCCTATCTTGTCTTCTCACATACATACAAATGCTCATCCCCACCCTGGGGAGAGACATGGTCTGGGTCCAGAAACCAGTCGTCCAACAAGAAACGAGGTGGGTTGGAATGGACAGATTCTAAAGTCCCCAGTGTGCCATGAACATGTGAGTGTTGGTGACTGACAGCTCAGGAGGCGGCCCTAACTGGAAATGCCGGAACTGGAGAGACCTGCCTCCCTCCCTCGAGGTCATCTCCCTTGCCTGGCACTGGCCTACATCGGGTGACTGGTCATCACGCTGTTTAAAGGTTTTTGCCTGGTCCCTGGCCCCTGTCCCCAGTATGTGACAACATGCAAGCCATCCTGCTTCAGAGCGCCCTGTGAGACATGCTGACCCTCCACTGCTACCAGACCACGGCTCGCCTCCTCCTCTGCCGAGTCCTGCTGACTTCATACCCTGACGGGTGTTGAGCCTGACATCACACCCCAGTTAGCTCTCTGCACACAGATCCGTGCTTGGAGTTTCTCTGCTGGGGAGCCTCTCCTGCGATCCTGCCTAAAGGGTTCGGGGAGTTGGTGCTGGAGTGGTAAAGGGGAGGAATGGCTCTTATCAAGGGTAAAGGCAGAATGCATGGTCAGATCTCTCCCAAGAAACAGCTGAGAGGTCACGGGATTTCCTCAAGCATCCATACAGACAATCTTACAAGGTCTGAGCATCTCTGCCGTGAAGAGCCAGGTAGTAAACGCGTCAGGTTTTTTGGGCTACATGGTCTCCATGATGACGACTCAAACTGCCCTTGGAGTGCAAGAGGGGCCAGGGACAGCACCTCAGCCTTAAGCATGACCGCGATCCAATTCTAAAACTGGGGCAATGGCTATGGCTTGCCCTGGTGGGAAGGAACTGGGCCATAGGCAAAAGGGGGACCACTCTTCCCTCCTGTATGGGGAGATGTCCCCTGTCATCCCCGCCTCACCCAAATTCTCTTCCCCACGCACCCAAAACTCCATGAGGTCCCACCCTACATACGCGCATGCACTAGCACCATTACACTTCCAACAACAATGTGCCTAAGTGATTAAGCTGCTATTAAGCTCATTGTGCGCTTCCGTTATTAAGCTATTATCAAGCGTGCATTATGAAGTTATTAAGATACCTGCACATCTTCTACACGTCTCAGTCTGAAAGGGGAAGATGACAGCTGTACTCTGGCAAAATTCACAAATGAAGCCCTTTCCTTGACACAGCTGTAAGAGAAGGGGCCAAAAAGTTAAAATCCTCCTTGGCAACGATTCTTTTGATGGAGAAGCCAAGTGACTACTTTCACAGAACTTTATAAACCTCCGTCGTTAAGTGTCTCGCATCCCGGCCTCTAGAAGGACCGGGACGCTAGATCTCGCTAGAGTAGAGTAAACGGATGCGAACGGTACGTGTGCCTCTGTTTTGCATGGAGAGATTTAGTTCAAGATGTCAGGGAAAGATCATGACTTTATACGTGGGCCTTCAGATGATCTACTCTTATTTCTGAGGGCTCTTCTACAACTTTTGAGTTCATGAAGACACACAGCTCCTAGTCCCCAGGATCCTGAGTCCACATGGCTGTCCTTGGAGCATCCGGGCAGATGGGAGTCAGGCAAGGCCCCCAGCAGGGCTTGGCCCTGACACGAAGAAGTCGACTGGCCCACGCTTGCATTCCCAGCCCTGCGGGGGGCCAGCACAACAATCTTGGCTGTTACCAAATAGCTCCGAACCTCATTTCTCTCATCTGGAAATAGTGTTCCTCGCACTTCCCTCACTGTCAGTGGTGGTTAAATGAGGTAAGGTCCAGAACACCCATCCCAGGCCCTGAAGGGTAAGGGACAGCTCAGGGACACACCTGTGCCAGGGGAGCCTTACCTCACAGCCAGCCACATGCGCGAGGGAAGCTTTTAGAATGTCCTTGAGCAAGGGCACCAGCAGCCGTTTCTTGACCCTGACCAGATCCTCCAGGGAGAACAGGTGGAGCTCATCAGTCAGGTGCCTTGGCACCTGCTCAAACTCCTTCAGCGCACTGCCGGGGAGGAAACAAAGAAGAGTTCGGACGGCCACCCACACAGAGGCTGTGACACAAGGAGGCCGAGCAGGCGGGGGTTTTCTCTGGCACTCACACCTGATTATTTTTTTAACTCAGTTCAAAAAAAAAAAAAAAAAAAGAAAGCCCAAGAGCAAGTGAACCTGGCTCACCGTCTGACATTCTGCAAGTTTGTTTGGAAGCCAGAAACCTAAAATTTCCTAAAAGTGGATTTCAAAAAGCTGAGCCAGCAGAAAAACATCTCTTGCAGCCTGCCCATGGAGAGACTCAGCAAAAGACAGCTGCACATTTATTTTTCAAGTCTTAAAAACATGTACTGAGATTTAAAAAAAAAAAAAAAAAAAAAAGACGACCTCATTCATTCCAGCTCAATTTCAAGTCCATCTGCCTGCTGACTGTTGTCAGGCCAGCAGGAGGATCACTGCTCATAGGCAGGTGCATGACTTCCCCAGCTAGGAGTCCAGCACCGAGCCCAAGACCCAAGCATCCAACTGTGAGCTCATCATAGCCACCTGTGTGTCCGAAGGGCAGTCACATATGGATTGCATCTTTCTCCAACCCGTACTTATCTCCTCCTGGATTCCCTAAATCTATTAGTGGCGCCACGCACTCATTCCCGAGCCAGCCACTGCCTACGCTAGATTTGACATTCCAACAAGCCAATCTGTGCTGAATTCTCCATCCAGCCTGAGATGCTCGCTCACACTGCTTCTTCTGGAGGGAACCCCTGACACTTCTTCTTCAGTCTGACTTGCTCTTTAAACTCTGCTTTTTCTCTGGGAAGCTCTGTGGCCCTCCTCCCTGCCCCACCCCGTAGGACCTAACTGTTGCCTCTTCTGTGCAGCACCATGTGTGTGTGTCTAACACATGGTCTGGCATTAAGAGGTTTGTGCTTTCTCCCTGGATGTAACATGAGTCCTACGGACTTTTTATCTGAAGCACAGAATAGAAATTTTGGTAGACAGTAATAATTATGGGGATTGTTATAGGTTACGCAAGAAAACGGACAGCCTGAGATGTAGTTAACCTGTCACACCACTGCCATGAGGTAGAGCTTAAGGCCAAATAACTACAGGAGATGTGCTCCTCCCCAAGAAATTTAATTCAAAGGCAATACATTATCATTAAAGATACATTACATTATCATTAAAGATCAGAAACTGAAAGCAGCTTTAAAATAAAACGATTTTTTTGGGACGTCTCGGTGTCTCAGTTGGGTAAGCATCTACTTTCTGCTCAGGTCATGACCCCAGGGTCCTGGGGTCGAGTCCCACATCGGGTTTGCTGTGGGGAGCCTGTTTCTCCCTCTGCCTGCTGTTCCCCCTACTTGTGTGCTCAATCTCTCTCTGGTAAATAAATAAATAAATAAATAAAAACTTAAAAAAAATGAAATGAAACAATTTTTTAAAAACTATGATCCTGTCTATTATAACAAATAATCTTAACCCCTTAAGTAACCTCTTTTCTCACTTAAAAAATTATATCTCTGTCATTGAATTCATGCCGATACCTTTATGCCATGGCTCCCCAAAATTCCACTGCTAGAAGTTTATTCTCAGGACATATTATGGATGTGCACAGAGATTCACCTAAAGCCCGGTCTTTTAAATAACAAATGGTATTAAAAATCCAAGTATCCATGAGATATTAAAATCCATCTAGTTTACTATCTATAGAGTATAGTATGCTATACTCTATAGAGTATACAGATAGTATACTATCTATAGAGATATTAAAATCTATTAGATTAAAAATCTACCAGTAAGAGAACCATACCGAAATTAACACCACATGATACTATAAAGTACTAAACAGCAATGACGGTTTGACACGCCCTCCATCAGGGATTTTTTAAAAAGGCCATCGATACACCCCTGCTCAGAGCACCTCTAGTCACAACAGCTAAAAGGTGAAAGTAACCCAAGGTGGCTGAACGGGTAAACAAAATGCGGTAGGTACATATAATGGAATATTTTTCAGCCTAAAAAAGGAAGGAAATTCTGACCCATGCTACAACATGGGCGTACCTCCAGGAAATTATGTTGAGTGCCATAAGCCAGTCATAAAAGCACAGATACTCTGTGGCTGCACTTCCAGGAGTCACCCAGAGGAGTGAGTCCATAGAGATGGTAAGGAGAATGGTGGTTGCCAGGGGCAGGAGGAGCGAGGGAGGAAGGAGTTATTGCTAAATGGATACAGAGTTTCAGTTTTGCAAGAGAAAAAATTCTGTGGATGGATGGTGGTGACCATTGGAAAAGAATGTGAATGTACTTAATGCCACTGAATTGTACACTTAAAATGGTTAAGATGGTACATTTTGTTATGCGTGTTTGGTCACAACTTAAAACAACAATCATAGTAAGGCCCCCCAGTTGGAGTTATTTCATCCTTGTTTTGGCCGATTCTTCTAACACTTTAAGTTCATTACTAGTGAGCCAGAAGACTCAGCAACTTTAACGATAGGGTCTGGATCATCAAGAAGAGGCCCGAGGGAGTTGCTATGCTAAGGGGCCTGTGGATTGGAGGAGCTGGGAGCAGGTGGCACCCAAGGGACTGGGTGTGTGTAGGTATGCAGAGGCTCCCAGCCCTCACAACCTCAGGCGTGGCCTGGCCCAGCCAACATTAGTACCTTTCAGCAAACCTGCAGGTCTTCAACAGCTTCTTGATATGAAAAAGTTGTTCCCGGGTTTCCTAATGAGAGAAGCCAAACGGGGAGAAGTTAATGTGATCAATGACACAGAAAATGTACAAATCAAATTTAAATGTTAGTTCTAACTTCGAAATGCTACAACTCTAAGACAAGCCTTTGGAGCAAACAGTCTATATAGCAGGGGTTCATGACAGAGTCCAGTAGAAACCCAAGTTATGTGAAGCCTGAGGATTACACAACCGTTGGGGACCTTCTTTGAGGAAAACACAAAACTGTGTGTGAAAGATGGAGATCCTGCCTTTTGTGGCTACATGGATAAAACTGGAGGGCATCGTGCTAAGTGAAATCAGACAGACACAGAAAAAAAAAAAAAACCTGCATGGTCTCACTTACACGTGGAATCTTAAAAAAAGTCAAAAACACGGAAGCAGAGAGTTGAACAGGGAGACAGGGAGGTGGGGCAAATGGGGAGATGCTGGCCAAAGGGAACAAAGGTGCAGTTACGTAGGATGAATAAGTCTACAGGTCTAATAGATGGTATGAGGACTATAGTTAATAATACTGTATTGAACACTGGAAACTTGCTAAGAGAGTACATTTCAGGTGCTCCCAACACACACACACACACACACACGCACACCCTAACTGTGGAGATGGAGATGCTAATTAGCTTGACCAGTAATTATTTCACTTGTTGAACATCAAATTATCATGCTCTACACCTTAAACATAATTTTATTTTAAAAACTAATAATAAATAAATGTCAAAATCTATGTGATAAATGCAAAATGATGCCTACATAGGGAATTTGGTACCGGGCCTTGGAAGCTAAAGCTCCAGTGGCTGGCAGTAAACCCGCCCTTTGGAGGGTCCAGCTGTGTCCCCTGAGACGGTGCAAGGTTGCAAGGTGCACTGGCACAGGTCCCTTGGCGCCAGCGGCCCCACCTCCTCCCCCCTCCTCCCAGCCGAGGCCGGTGCTCACCCTCGCTCTGTCCAGTTCCTTGACCTTGGCGTACAGGCCGTGGCCGATGCTCAGCAAATTGAAAACGGGCTGGGGCCCCAGACCGTCCAGCAGCCGTTTGGAGAAATTGCTGACGTAGTACTTCCTGAAGTCCCACGTGGTCAGGATCCGCGCAGGGATGCAGCTCTCTGCGTAGACGTGGCAGCAGTCACAGAAGTACTTGCCCAGGTAGTCGCAGTACCGGAGCCGCTTCACAAACTCTGCAAGAGCCCACGGGAGGGTGAGCACGCCTCACCTCGGCTGGCGAATGGCAAACCCACTGCCCTCCGCGCCGCCCCCCGCCACCACCCCCCCCGCCCCCCCCCCCCCCCCCCCCCCCCGCCACCACCCCCCCGCCCTGCCGCCCTCTCCCTCCACCGCTTCCCATCCCTGTGAGGTTCAAGACCCAGATGGCGGGGTTTGTGCTGCTAACACCGTACTCGCCCTCACAGCCTCTGAGAAAGCTCCGGCAGGGGCAGGAGGCTGTGTATTATATGGCCATTCAGGAGCGCTGCTTTCCAAAAACAAGTGTCAGAAAAAGAGAAAGCCGCCCCAAATACTCCTGAATTTGGAAGACAGGCATTGTAAACGGCAGTATAGGCAAAAGAACATGAGGTTTAGAGTCCAGAAATCGGTGGGAGTCTACCCTCTGCCTCTGGCCCGCCGGGAGCCTGAGGGCTGGTGGAATCCTTTCAGGCTAACTATCCTGAAGCTATAAAAAGCAGCTCAGGACCAGGTTATGGGCTATCACACCTACAGAAAGTGCTTGGTAAATCGTCAGGCACGCTCTGGACACCTTAGGGAGCCGCACTCCAAAGACTTCCTGGATAAACCCAGGGCAAACACATTACAGAGATGCACCAAGGACGGGAATAGGCGATACATGGAAACAGGGAGTGCAGCTGACCAGGAATGACCTGAGAAACAATCTCAGCAACAAGGACGTGCATGTCGAAAGAGTGAACGCTTGGTTTTGCAGGAGACCGTCACAGAGGTAGAGGACCCAGGGCCGGCAAGGGGCAGAGGGGCGGACACTCACTCTCAGGGCTGACCTGAGGGGACTTTCTAGGAGGACATTTCCACAATATACTTTAACTCTGATGTGTACATACCGGAACTCCTGCTTTGGTGACACTAGACAGAAATGCTAACATGCACACGTGGAGACACAGGTGCTCATTACAGTATGTTACAGCAATCTAAAATACATTAAGAAGCACCCGGCTAGACAGGCATGGTGCCCTCAACAATGAAATGACAGAGAGCCCACGAATGCGTGGATGAGTGTGGGCAGTGGACATCCAGTTCTAGATGCTTACACTGAGATCATGATTTTGCTTCTAAAAACACACATACACAGTCCAAGAGCATCCCCACCAAAAAGCCAAAAGTGAACACTTCCAGAGGGCAGGAGAAAGGATTTTTCATTCTTTTGCATTTTTTAATTTGCTCAAATGAGCACACATTGCTTTCCGAAATATATCTAACAAAATATATTGGCAAGCAAAAGGTGTAGGGACAAGTGCATCAAGTCCCTGTGTACCCACCACCCAGTTTAAGAAGAAGACAGCAACTCAGTTAAGTCTCCCCAGTGTCCCGCCCTCAACCTTGGAGTCTAAGATGGGCGAGGATGATATCATCATTATCAGATTAAATGAAAGGATGGGTGGCAAAGCAGCTACCACAGCACCTGGTACGCTGAAGATTCTAAATCTAGTTTCTTTGCCCTGGCTTCCAGAATAAACAAGGTCGCTTGTATTTTAATGAAAGGAGACATTACTTGAATGACGAGAGCTTTCAATGAGTTAGGTACATTGCTAGTCCTATATGCTTCTGCATGTATGTTTACAAAAATAAAATAAAATATAAAACCAATCAATCAATAAACAAGGCCTGAGTGACTGCGGGAGCTATCCCTTACTGAGCACCAACTTTGTGTTACGCTCTGGTTAAAATTCTCACCTACACTCTGTCATTCTCTGCTCGAACCTGTAAGAGGCAGGGGCTATTACGCCCCATTTCACTGATAAGAGCCCAGACAGGGAATGAAGAGACACTCGGGGAGCAGGCTAGTGGGGTTCCCACCCATGTCTGGCCTGAAGCTCCAGCTTTTGGCCATCACAGCCCCCTCACCCTTTGCCGCATGCAACAGAGAGAAAGGGCGAGGAGCTAACACCTTTGTGCTTGCCCAGATTATCCCTCAGACCCCGGTCGCACCCATTGATTCTTACTATTTACAATAGTTTATGTTCTGTAAAGGTGCCATGAACACCAAATTTGTCAAAACAGGTATGTATGCTCCGGAGGGAAAAACAGGTTTAGGCTTCTGTGACCCTCTGGTACCATTTTCACCAATCGGTCAATATATAACCCTGCTTTATGTGTGTTTTCTGTTTAAAAACACCATATCTAATGTATTTTGTTATAATTTATTTTTAACAGCCTTATATATATTATCAACGCTAAACCAACAGTAACAACCTTATATATACATTGCGAACAATATATTATTTTGTTATATTTTTGTTATATCCTTGCTCAGGGCCAACAGCACTATCTGTAACTCATGCCTGAATGAAGCTTATCTAATGCATGTATATTTTCCATAAAGCAAATCATATCCTTCTCGTGCTTAGAAGCACTTCAGTACCATATGTGGGGGATATTTTAAATAGCTAACTCATCAACAAAAAATGCAAAGCTGTAACAAATAAAAAAGGCACTTAGTAAGCCATAAGAAGGCCTTGTTCACAGTATGAGAGAGAAAACCAGAAGGCAGAGCACTGCCTTCAGCTGGAAACATGTGCATCGGGCAACTCAAATTTCAGGCAACTCAAATTTTTGGTGCTTTGTGCATATCTGGGCATGACTGTGAAAACGCCATGAGTAATTCTGTGACCACCAATAAATTTTATCCAGTAGGTAAATCTGCAAATACAGAATCATAAACAATCAGGTTCAATTATAAGGCACACAACTAGGGTTGACAAATTCTTGTTAAGAACTCTTTAAATGCTTGATGTTTATGGCTGAGTTCTTCAATTTCAAATCTTGAGAAGTCAGTTGTATATGTCTATTTCCTACCCTGGATTACGATTTCTGATTTGTCAGATGATGAATATTTTTTGGCTTGTGATAGGGCCTTGATACATTTTATATAAAATGGGCAGAAAGGAAGGTATGCTCTGGCCCTTCCACTCTACATTTCTGATAAAACTTAGCAGGATGGGAAGAGAAAGGGGGACAGATGGGACCAATAAATTTTCCTGATGTAATTCATCTTTTCCTAAAATCTACAATCCTAAAATTTCAATGTCCAGTCATTCATTCATCAAATTTCATTGACTCTCTACTAAGTACTATACTATCGATACAGAATAAGTGATGTCTCTCTCTTTTGGTTTCTTCAGTCCTTTAATTAAAGCAGAGCTAAACAACACATCCAAAACCAGGTGTTCTCGACCAGGGGTGATTCCCTAAGAATATATGGAAATAGCTGGAGATATTTCCAGTTGTTATAACTGGGGAGCCACCAGTAGCATCTAGTGATGCTTTTGAACGTCCTAGAATGTACAGGACAGCCCTTCAACAGAGTCAGTGGTACTGAAGTTGAGAAGCCCTGCTCTAAACCACAACTGTTCTCATTGGAGGAAAAGTCAATGCCACAGGAAAAAAAAAAAAAAAATAGGAAGGACAAATTCTAGACCAGTACAGTCCAACAGAACTTTCTGGGTGGAGGGAACTCTTCTAAGCCTGTGCCGTCCAATGTAGTAGCTACAAGCCACATGTGGTTGCTGAGCATTTGAAATGTAGCTAGTGTCTGAGGAACTGGATCGTTTTTTTTTTTTTTTAAGATTTTATTTATTTATCTGACAGACAGAGATCACAAGTAGACAGAGAGGCAGGCAGAGAGAGAGGAAGGGAAGCAGGCTCCCTGCTGAGCAGAGAGCCCGATGCGGGACTCGATCCCAGGACCCTGGGATCATGACCTGAGCTGAAGGCAGCGGCTTAACCCACTGAGCCACCCAGGCGCCCAACTGGATCGTTTTTTAAAGACTTTGTTTACTTGACAGAGAGAGGGAGAAAGCACAAGCAGGTGGAGTGGCAGGCAGAGGGAGAAGCAAGGTCCCTGCTGAGCAGAGAGCCCGACATGGGACTTGATCTCAGGACCCTGGGATCATGACCTGAGCCGAAGGTGGACGCTTAACTGACTGAGCCACCCAGGCACCCTGAGGAACTGTATTTTTTTTTTAAGATTTTATTTATTTATTTGACAGACAGAGATCACAGGCAGGCAGAGAGAGAGGAGGAAGCAGGCTCCCTGCTGAGCAGAGAGCCCGATGCGAGGCTCGATCCCAGGACCCTGGGATCATGACCTGAGCCGAAGGCAGAGGCTTTAACCCCCTGAGCCACCCAGGTGCCTCAGGAACTGTATTTTTAACCTTAATTAATTTAAATTAAATCTTAACTAGCCACATGAGGGAGTGGCTACCATGCTGGACAGTGGAGTTCTAGAATAAAGGTGACGAAAGAGAAATAATGACTAAATGCAGTGTATGAAACTCAGAAGATGGATGGAAAAATTAGCTATAAAATGACATCGTGAGAACAACAAACAAATATGGACTAATGCAAGAGAGTATTAGAGAATTGTTACTAATTTCCTTTGGTGTGCTAACTGTTCATCATCCTTATTTTTAAAACATGCTGGAATATTAAAGGGTAAGCTGTCATGTTGTCTGCATACTTTTCAAATGGTTCAACATGTGTGAGATTGGAGGAGCCCAAGGAGACCAGACAACTACATGCCATGTGCAGCTCTGGACTGGACCTGGGAGCAGATCAAGGTCATGGGTGAAATCTGAATCAGTCTGTGCCTGAGTGAATGGGACTGTACCAACGTGAAGCCCTCAGTTGGTAGTTATACTCTGATTATTATAAGATGCTAATGTGAGGGGAAGCTGGATGAAAGGAATATAGAATACCATTTTTGCAACTCTTCCGGAAGTTCAAAAATATCTTAAAGTAAAAACTCAAGGGGCATCTGGGGGGCTCAGTCAGTTAAGCATCTCCCTTTGGCTCAGGTCATGGATCTTAGGATCCTGGGATCGAGCTCTACTTCAGGTTCCCTGCTAGGCAGGGAATCTGCTTCTCTCTCTCTCTCTCTGCCTCTCCCCCCTGCTTGTACTTGCTCTCTCTCTCTCAAACAAATAAACAAAATCTTTTTAAAAAGTTTTAAGAAGTCAAAATATATCCTAAGAACTATATAGGAAGTTCACAGGAAAAGTTCAAATCGTCTCCGTGCCTGAAAGCACATCTGCTGTCTATGCCCTGGGCACCTGTGAGCAGCTTTCTTCTCTCCTTACTACTCTCCACTCATGCAGGACTTCCCGGCAGTTGCTGCAGGTCCGTTGCTCAGGGTGACCCTTACACCTGCAACACACACACACACACACACACACACACACACACACACACGCTTCCTGGGACAATCACTTCCCTACAGAACTTCTCCCTCCCAGCCCCTCAAGCCCAAATTAAGTTCCCATGAAGTAAATCCCACAGCACTCTTGACTTTCTCTTTCATTGCAAGCATCATTCTTGCTGTTCATTTGGCTGATGCCTCTGCCTTCTTGGAAGCGAGCTTCATGAGGGAAGGACCATGTTCACGTGACCAGTGCAGGCCTACATCTCCGTAGTTGAACAAACTTAGAGAGATTGTTTAAAAGTTGGCAGAATCACCGTCATGTGTTCATAGTTTCTGACTCATGCACTCAATCATGCACTCCATACTGAGGTACCATGATATAGGGGTTAACCAAACAGCCATGATTTCTACTAGACTAGCTGGGAGGATGAGTCCTTCCTTTCAAGGAAACCAGTTACAACTTTGATGAAGGGTGGGCACTGTCATTCAATATGGTAGAAGGAATCCCAGACAGATTTCTGTGTTCTATTTTTATTTCCTGAGGTGGAGGTCCTCAAAGTCTTTTTCCTTCCAAGACTTCCTATCAAAGGCCAAAGGAACCCTTTCCAGCAAAGCTCCTCTCCCCAGTCTTTTACATGCCAGACCTGTGGATACCCTCATAAGCAGAATACGTGACTGGCAGTCTTCAGTGGGCAATTTGAATTTCTGACTAGAAGAAGTCTGACTTTCTAGGCCCCCAGCTGGCCCAGGAATGATCCCTCAAGCCACCTCCCCAAACCCTCTCAGAGGGCTTTGGCCAGCTCTTTGATACAAGCCATTCAGGCACTCAGCAAATACCTTTTGAGGAACAACTGTGTGCCAGGTGCTCTTATAGGAGCAGGGGATCAAAGCAATGAACAAAACAGACAACACATCTGTCCTCATGGAACTTAGAATCGAGACAGGGATGCAGACCAACGATTATCAAAATCCGTAAAATCTCAAAGAGCATTTTAGGAAGGTAAGTGCTAGAATAAAAAATAAGTAGGAAGAGTAAAGTGTACACATGTTTGTGGCAAGGAGTGTGGCAATGTTGGCATCTTCAACAGGGTGGCCAGAGAACATCTCCTCACGTCGAGTGAAGGTGTGCAGGAAGTGAGGGAACCAGCCATAGGGATGTCATCCTCGGGAGAGAAAACTAAAAATGCAAGTCCTTAAGTCAGGCATGAGCCTGCCTCCTTCAAGGACCAGCAGGGAGGCCATGTGGCTGGAACTGAGGGCTCAAGGGCGAGAGAACCAGGAGATAAGGTAACAGGCCAGCCACATAGCCTTATAGGTCACGATGGCCTCTTCAGGAAAGAGAAGGCAGCAGCTGAAGTTCCTGTAACAACTCCACCCAAGGCATTTCTCACAAAAACAGCGCACTCTCCAACTTCGCCATTCTTGGCCCTGTCATTGCGTCCTCAACGGGTAACCCACTGCCCATACTTACTAGGTTCTATTGGAGTTCCACAGCCAGCACACAAAAAATTCTGGGCTGCTACCACGAGTTCCTTCCTGCGCACAGAAAAGGATCACAGTTACAGTTCAGAAATAGCCAATGGAGCATTTTTCACTGACTAGACAAGAAACTGACATCAGGGTGCTTTTCTGGGCTCGAGGCCTTAATTTTGTCATTTTTTCATTTAGGAAAAAAATAGCATTCTTCAGTCGAGTTTTCTAGTTGAGATTTCTGGGTCGTTTATTTTATTTTATCATTATTTATTTAGTTATTTATTTATTTATTTATTTATTTATTTATTTATTTATTTTCTGAGATCTCTGGGTCTTTTAAAAACCCCTACTATCGCCAGACTATAAGTCAGTATCATGACTATTCACCGTGGGATCTTTGGAGACGGCTCACTGTGCATGCACAGGACCCCCACTGGTGAGAACTGGAGACATGTAACTCAAGGGAGAAAGTTCAGGGAGATGAAACACCAAGAGGTGATGCGCCTGGGAAGTTCACACAGGGACCCAAAAAAACGTGGATGAATAAGAGGTCACATAAGACCTAAGTATCAGACATTTCTGGAGAGCGACCGTCTACTGCAGTGTCTTCTACTGAACTCTTAACGCCACAACTCCATATGTGATTTGGAAATACGAAGGGAGTTGTAAAATTTTATTACAGTTTAGGGTCAGCAAAAATGGACCAAGGTAAAAATGGGCAGAACCCTACCCATGTGCCTTAGAGAGGACGTAGGGACATTTTAGAGAAAAGACAACCCTTGCTGAGGAGAGTGACCCCTCCCCAAGCCAGGAGAAGGAGCTCTTCTGCCTAAGCACTCCAGACACCTTCTTGGCATTCTCTCAAACAGAAAAAATACAAGACAGAGCCTATTAGGGCACTTCCATGGGCCACTGGCAAGACCCTCCCCCAGTCCCTTCCTTATGCTGCAGTTTGGGAACACGTTAAATACAAGCCAAGGGGACTGGAGAAACTGTAGGTGGTTAAAATGTCCCCTTACAATGTTATATCCTCTCAGAAACAAATAAAACTATTACCTTGAATTATTATGTATTTTATTTATACATAGACATTTATAGAAATGAGTTTATTTCTTTTTTTCTTTTGTACCCTCTTTTGTCATTTTGTCTTTTAGGATTTTATTACTTCTTAGAGAACAAAGACATTTTTATATGCATCCTGTTGCATTTCTTTCTTTTTTTTTTTTAAGATTTTATTTATTTATTTGACAGACAGAGATCACAAGTAGGCAGAGAGAGAGAGAGAGAGGAGGAGGCAGGCTTCCCACTGAGCAGAGAGCCTGATGCAGGGCTCTATCCCAGGACCCTGGGACCATGACCTGAGCCAAAGGCAGAGGCTTTAACCCACTGAGCCACCCAGGTGCCCCATCCTGTTGCATTTCTTAACTACAGCCCTCCTCAAGGTAAGATTTTCCCTTTAAAAGAAAATTATCCATTTATTTTTTTTTTCACATTGGCCTGGGAAATAGAGCAATCTTTTAAAGATATTGTGTATGATTTTTAAGGTTTAATATTAGCCACTTAAAAAAAATCCCCTTTAGGGGCACCTGGGTGGCTCAGCGGGTTAAGCCTCTGCCTTCGGCTCAGGTCATGATCCCAGGATCCTGGGATAGAGCCCCACATCGGGCTCTCTGCTCAGCAGGGAGCCTGCTTCCCCCCCCCCCCCTCTGCCTGTCTCTCTGCCTACCTGTGATCTCTATCTGACAAATAAATAAAATCTTTAAAAAAATCCCCTTTAAACCTACTTAATTTTTAATTGCTGTGTAACATACATAATAAAGGACATGGTTAAATTTGTCAAACTTACTTAGGCCCCCCCCCCACAAAACCCATGATAAACAAGTTGCTTGGACGCTAATTCAGAAAAATATGCCCAACTTTCCTTTTCCTACAACAAATTTTCCTTCATCCCTCGGTGTGTAATTTTTTTCCCTTCCCCTACTTCCACAAAGAGAGGACCTATCACACCTTGTTACCTGGACTGGAAGCCCTCACAGCAACCCAGACTTACTTGAGTGGCGGGTGAACATTAACTACGATTTGAAATCTGGGGGGCTCCCAGTCTTCAGCCCCTCGGATCCTCGACTTAAGGGTAATTTCCTGAACGACGTCCACACTGGATTCAAAGTCTTTCCGGACGCGCTCTTCATTCACTACCTGCATAACACAGAAGAGGATTTCAGAGCAACCCAAACAAGCATATTTCTGGAACAGAAAGAAAAAGAATATTCAAATGTGTTTCCAGCATTAAAATATGCCATGAAAAATTAGAACTGCTTTCAACTGAACGAAAGAAGCCCTCCCAGTATCTAACGCCATCTGTAGAAGTCTTGCTTGAAACGCCAGCCAGCTGAGATCACTTTTCTTAGTATTTTGGGGAGTTCATTTGTTTTCAGACTTCAAGTTTCTGTAAGTAGGTCGCTGTGACCCAGAATGCTTTTCTTCGCAGCAGAAGCCTTACTGCTCTTAGTCCATAGGCTACCACGTGCTGCCCAACAGAACCCCCAGCTGTTGTCAGACTTCCCCCAAAACAGCTCTTTTAAGGCCATTCCCCAGCTTAAAAATGTCCAGTGGCTCCCCTCTGAGCCATTCCACTTTCCTGTTTGCAATTAACATTCAAAGTAGCATTCTGTGTCCTCCACAATTTGGCCCTATCCTTCAAACCTAATTTCCGAGGAAGACCAACTTCGCCCCCCCAACACACACACGCACCCACACACAAACACATGTTATTCAACTACACCAGGCCACCCTGCTCAGTAAACATACCATGCGCACCCGCCCCTGTCACTTTTGCTCCAGCTGCCCTGTGCCACGTGTTTCTACCTGCTACCACTCTCAAGTTCAGAGATGCCCAGTTGGCCTTCCCGAGTCCCCTGATAAAATGAAGCACCCCTCCTCTGCATACGCAGACTGCTTTATTCCCACCCCTGTGTTAGCTCTGCCGCAAAGTTCTCTCCCCGCAACGGGCTGAGGGCGGTCAGAGGCCGGTGTGTCTACATGGGACCAGACTGGACATGACTCCTGCTCTTCCGCGGACCAGGCTGGCCGAGGGGCGGGAACTAACACTTTAAACATAACAACGGCATCTACTTAAGAGGATACAGGTAAGGATGAAAATGTGAAATGCTGAATTCTCCGGCCCATAATCAACACTCGGGAAACACTCCAGGGACCACGCAAGGAAAGGCATAAATGCCTGAAGTGAACAGCAAGCAAGATGAGAATTTAGGAACTCTCAATGCAAGGCCAGTTTATTTGGATACTTACTACCGAGCCAGCTGCATTTGGAGGACCTGCAGGCTGCTGATTAACGTCTGACAACAGCCAGCTCTTCTGGAATGCTCGGTACAGCTCCTTGGCTATTAGCTCAGCAGAATTGAAGTCTGGCTCATAAATGACACTGAAAGGTAAGAGACGCAAAAAGTGGAAAATGGTATTCATGAGGAGTATGCTGTAGATCTTCATGTTTTCAACCATCCTTCCCCCTCCAAAAACTCAGAAGAGGTGTCACAGGAGGGAACATGCCCCAGCCACCCACTGATTGTCTTATGCAACACAGTTCCTCTGTGCTCGAAACAGCAGCTTTTATTTATGGAGGGGACCAAGACTAGGAAATGTGGTAAAAAAAAAAAAAAAAAAAGCACTGGATTTGGAGTTCGAAGACCTGAGTTCAAGTCCTGTCTCTGCTCATCAAATAGCATTGTGTCCTGAGGCACATTTAGCCTGAGTCTCAGTTTCCTTATTTATGAAAATGGGGTAAAAAAAAATCCTACCCAGGCTGATTAAATGAGAATGTATACAAAGGCCTTTAAACACTCTATTAAAAAAAATAAAAGATTATAGAAAGCTCTATGGAAAACTTAGTGGTGATTGTTTCATTGTCAAATAGTAATCTCTGTCCCTGGAACTGGCAGAACTTGGTTGGAGATGTCAGAGGCTTGGCATTCACAGTGCCTCGGTGGTAATGGCCCAGGGGTCTAGGTGCAGGTGGACATGGACGAGACCTACCTCTTTGAGGAGCTGCAGGAACACCCACAGGTTTCTGTGATATTGCTAAACTCACCAAGTTCTGCAAGTAAATAAAAGAAAGGGTATTAAAGTCTTTCGGTCTGTTTTACTTACTCATACTTAATTTTATAAGAACACGAAAATAAATCCCTGCCTCTCAGAAAGGTCTCGTTATTCAGCATCTCCATTCTTCATGTTCTCTGGGTTTCTATTATGAAACTACAGCTAATGACCAAAGATGGGATTTCAAAATCCAGTCTCCTGAAATTCCACCAGAATTTAATTGAGAGGCCAAACAGATCTGACTATAATGAGTATCTGCTTTTGCATTCAATTCTACAAGTGAGATGAGAGATTGATTATCAAGACATTTGAAATAAGAACATCTAATTATTATTACTATTATTATTTTTTTAATCTGACATAATCTGATCTTGGGAGAAGTTTCTTTGAAAGCCATTATAACGTGGTATCACATGGGATGCATGTCAGTATGTGTTGAGGGGAGGGAAATTACGAGTCATCGCTGGTGAGTTTCCAAATCTTACCTATGATAACAAAGTCGTCAAAGTCACATTTACAGGCTTCTTTCAGCATATCAGAGTGAGTGGGTGTCCCGGCCACTGGGCTGCCCTGTAACACAGCATAACCTAGAAAAAGAAATGAAGGGGCTTTCACCAAAAAGAAAAACAAGAAAAACTGTCACAGCCAACTAACTAGAAACCAGGGAATAAAAATGGGCCAAGAGTTTACATTAAAAGAGTTTAAAAATCCAGCTTTAAGAATTAAAAAACGCAGGGAGCTATTTTTGTATTGTTCGTCCATTCACTGTGACTGAGTGAAACAGAGGGAGGAGAATCTGTGATGGTGAGGGGTTCATAAGAGTCAGCTGCCTACTTTAATGTGTGTTTGAAAATTTCTAAAATACAAAGTTTTAAAAAAATGAAAGAGGACAAAAATCAGCTTCACAGTGAGGCAAAGAGAAGAAGCGACCTAAATATTGTACTGGGTTGAGGAGCATCCCCCCCCCAAAATATATATCCACCCAGAACTTGAATCCAACACTTGCTCAATCCTGGGACCCCAGGATAATGACCTGTGAATGTGACCTTATTTGGAATTAGGGTCTTTAGGAATTCGATGTGATCAAGTCAAGCTGAGGCCATACTGGATTGGAGTGAGCTCAAAATCCAATACAACTGGTTATATTATAAAGAGGGAAATTTGGGCACAGACACTGATAACCAGAGAAGGTCATGTACAGACAGAGGCAGAGACAGGGGTCATGTGTCTACAAGCCAAGGAACATCAAGGACTGGCAGTAACCACTAGAAGCTGGGAGAGGCATGGAACGGGTTCTCCCTCAGAGCCTCCAGAAGGAGCCAATCATTCCAACAAGTTCACTGTTGACTTCTGTCCTCCACAACGGAGAGAGAATACATTTTCTGTTGTTTCAGCCACCCAGTTTGTAGTATTTTGTTAATGCAACCCAAGGAAACTACTACAAATATGTCCATGTTTTTCGATCCTGAATGCTAGTCTGTGGAATTATCCTAAGAATGTCATTAAAAAGAAAAAAAAAAAAGGTTCAAAAGGCAGGCTTTGATCAGAAGGAGCTATCTGCAGTGCCTTTAAAATATTAAAATACTAAAAGCTATCAAAATGCCAAATAATAATAAACTGATTTTGCAAATCATGTTACTAAATCAAGAAATACCATCATGGAAAAATGTGAAAACTTAGCAACATGGAAAACTGGATAGGAAATACTGTTAATATAATCATATTGTTAATGGAATTGCATTAATACAAATATATAATCACTATGAAACTGTACTCACTTGAATAAACATAAGAGAAAAGCACAGAGAAATGGACACAGTTCTTGAGGGAAATATTCTAGCCCGCAGGTTAGGCAGAGGTTACATGACTGGGTTTCACAGGGAACTGGCCAGTGTTTAAAACCACGCTGCCTGGGTACTGCAAGTCACTTAAGGGTCTGACTTGACCCTTGGTTTCAGCTCAGGTCATGATCTCAGGATCTTGGGATCGAGCCTCGTGCCCAGCTTCGTGTGCTCAGTGCAGGGTTTGCCTGGGATTCTCTCTCCCTCTCTCTCTGCCCTTCCTGCTCATTTGTGTGCACTCTCTCTCTAAGATAAATAAATCTTAAAAAAAAATTGTTTTAAAAACCAACAACACTGCCCCACCTTAGCCAGGTGACCATGCACAATCAGCTTTGGTTTCCTCCTGGGTAAGGCAGGGCAACCTCACCCACTTCTGTTTCCCCCACCCTCTTTTGACCACGATCCATAGTAACATACAATCCCACTGCAACTCAGTTACAGACACAAAAATATATTTCACTGATTATAAAAAAAAAAAAAAGAAAAAAAGTTCCAGGAAGCATTGCTCCCTCGAGGTAAGTCGAATGCTGACACTTTCTATTCTTTTTGTTTGTTTTCAATTGTTCTCAAGACCAACCTGCAACTTAAAGTATGCCGACCTACCCCAAAGGAGTAGTATCTACTACCAGAAAGGTCACAAGAGACATATGTGATAAAAGACACATATTTTTATTGGGGTGGTAGAAATATTTTAAAATCTTATTTAACATATTTATATTCATGTTAAAAAAAATTCAGGGGCACCTGGGTGACTCAATTGGTTAAGCATCTGCCTTTGGCTCAGGTCATGATCCTGGGGTCCCAGGATTGAGCAAGTGTCGGGCTCCCTGCTCAGCAGGGAGCCTGCTTCTCCCTATAACCCTCCCCCTGCTCATGCTCAGCCATTTAACAAATATTTATAAAATACTATTTTAAGCAAGGCACTAGGCTGAAGCAAATTTCAAATGAGACACATTTTAATGCATCAAAGAGTTTAAAACCTCATAAGGGAACTGAGAAACTGACACGCATAGCTGTGAGAAAACACAACTGCGTGTACCCCAGCCTTGAGAAGGGAGGACTCCACGCTGCACAACTCCAGGAGGGAGGGAGGCACGCACTCGGACAATCACAGAGCATTCGGGAGCGCAACTTAGGCTTCCTTCCGCATGAATGGTGCTCTTGCCTTGGGATGAAATCTGGGAGCTTGTCACAGTGGTGGTGGAGGGAGACTGCTTTCGAAGAGTGGAAGAGTGAAGGAACTAATGTGACGTTCCTGGGGACCCAGCATTGCAAGGAGCCCAGCCAAAGCAAAGGGAGGGAGGCAGAGGCTTGGGAGAAATGTCTGCGGGCAAGTTGACCAGGCTCGTAAAACTAAAGCTCACAGTACAACACGGGGAAACAGGAGATGCCCGCTGGCAAGCTGCATCCCACAAAGCTCAAAGTCCCAGGATCAAATCTGGCACAAACCCAGCAGGCCGTTTTAGAGGAGTAGAAGTTGTTCTAGGCAGACAGATGCATATGGGATGGATGAGTGGAAAGAGGCTGGAAGTAAAGAGAAAACTAACGGCAGTAAATGTGTCTTGAGGACCTAAGTGCACGGCTTACAGGATGACTGACCAGAGGCTGCTGTGATGGGCCAGGTCAAAGGTGGACAGGGAATGGACGGAGCAGATGCCACCGTTACTGAGAAGTCAGGGCTGATTTGCTCACTAGAAATGGGGCCAAGACACAGACACAAAAAAGAAAGAGTCAAAGATAAAGCACAGAAATAGGACTGATATAGGAATCATTTCTTTTCTCCCCACTGGTGGCCTCAGAGGGGATGATGGTCCGATTACGTTCCTTCACTTCCCTGGCCAAGGGTGGCTGACCAGTTGGGGACACCCAATCAAAGTGGGCCCCCTTGGGGGCTCCTCCTGGGAATGTGGATCCGGGGTCCTGTAAGACTGGGGTGAGCTATGCAGCTGGTTATTCAGGAAGTTTTAGAAAGTTGTGGCAAAGGATTTGAAGATCTACTTTGGGATGTGACAGGAAAAGAGACATGAATGGAGAACACAGCATAAAGTCTCTCTGATGTGCCCTACTTGCCTTCATAGCCACTGTCAGAAGAATTGGAAGACCCAGATTCTTGCTTTGTGTTGGTATAAAACGTGACTTCGGAGTCAGCTTGGTCATTCCCGAGCACCCCACCGGCTTCTTCCACACCCCAGGGCTCTGTGTGCTGTTGACTCAGGATCGTACACTTAATTTTCTCCATTGCTGCTATAATCATATCTGCAACATAGAAGTGGGCATTTTCCTGCAGGGGGAAAAAGAAGTATCAGGTAAAATATAAGCATAATTGACTGTTTTTCATTGAGGGTATACTGGATTGAAAAATCAAGAAGCTGTATTTAAGTGGAGTTAATGCACGGAAATATAAACGTTCACTTAACTCAGGGATCACAGGTCATTCTATGAAGTAGAGCCCCTATCTTCCAGACACATAAAATTTAGCCCACTGAGACCAACAGATACCCCAAGCTGAATTTCTTGTGATTTAAGACCCCGGGCTGATGGTGGCCCAAGGGTAGACCTCAGGCATCGGTCATGGAAAATTTCCCAGCTGAGCGCAGACACTGACTCAGAGCCCTTCTTAGCTCAGCGCGCCTGCCAGAGGCTGAAAGGAAACCAATCTGCCAAGCTTCACCAAGAGAAGTTTCCAGATTTAAATCAGAACAGCACCATCTAAGGAATGAACACTCTCTGTGGTTTTAGAAAAGGGAAAAAAAAGAAGCTGTATTCACCTTTTCGACATCGACAGGGAGCAGGAATGCCTCCGGAGAGAAGGAATTCAAAGAAGTGGTTCTTCTGCTGACTTGAACAGCACCTACCAATGCAGCAAGTTATTAAAAATGGAGAAAAGGAAGTTCAAAGATCCCCTAAGAAAACAAAATGAGGGGCACCCGGGTGGCTCAGTGGGTTAAGCCTCTGCCCTGGGCTCAGGTCACGATCTCAGGGTTCTGGGATCGAGTCCCACATCAGGCTCTCTGCTCAGCAGGGAGCCTGTTTCCCCCCCCCCGACCCATGCCTACCTGCCTCTCTGCCTACTTGTGATCTCTGTCAAATAAATAAATAAAATATTTAAAAAAAAAAAAAGAAAACAAAATGATGCTAGGCAGTGGCCTTAAAATATATTTTTTTTTATTATTTAGCACAATCCCAGAATAAATTAGGATGCCAGAAGAAGACAGGACCTTCTGGTGGGAGGCTTTGCAGAGATTGCGTTAATGGGGAACATTTCTACAAGAGTCTGCTGGAGCAACTTGGGAGGACTCCTCAGAGAAGGAATGGGAGAACCCCTGGATGGAGGAGACCAATGAGGCGAAGAGGGTAGAAAGAGAAGATCATGGAAACTACCTAAGGGAGACGGAGAAGGGTGAGAAGGAACAGTCTAGAAGAAGGGCCCTAGGAATTATGGGGTCTCTTCTCCCATGCACTGTGACTGACTCAAAACTTCTTGTTTACAGAGACAAATCTATCTGAAAAAGGCCAGCATTGCTTCTCTGAAATGGTCTTCCTGCAGCCAAAAACCAGAAGAAACTGTGGAGGACAGATGCAGCTGACTTAGCCATTCTGCCCCCGGAGCCGCTCCATTACTGGCAGCAAACACCATCAAAACGGAATGATTCCTGTCATGTGATTCCTTCTTGCAGCATTTAAGGCAAAACTTTTCTACAAGGGCCCCAAGAGCTGAGTTGTTCCAACCTGCTAAAGGAGCCAAAATGCCACAGATGGCTTCAAGACTAGATAGCTCTCAGGGTGACAAAGAGAGACGCTAGCAGAATCGCCCGATCCCCTGCCTCTGCTTCAAGAAGGCGACTGTTCCACGGAGAACTCTGAATCGGTTAGCTCCAGAATCCATCTGGGGTGGGCCAGCTTTTTCTGAAAAGGACTAGGGAGTAGGTATTATAGGCTCTAAGGACCATCTGTTGCAACTATGCAGTTCCGCCACTGGGGAGAGGATGGCGTTATCAGCAACACACGGTGCACTTGATTTGTAAAATCAGGAGGCCAGAAGGAGCTGGCCCATAGGTCATAGTTTTTGGAACCTGAGGAAGAAATGGGACAGAAAAAAGTCAAGCTGTGGATTCCAGTTCCAGCTCTCTCTACACCAGCTGGCTGGGCCTCTGTGTTAAAATATACTCATTTCTTGCACTAGGAGAGGTAGCTATTAGGAGATTGAAGGAGGCCAGGAATGTGAGTGTGCCCTGCAAACAAAAGGAACTGTGGATGGGTTTCTTGGGGCCTCAGGAAATGCTAGGCTGGGGGAGTGGGCGGGTGGGTCTTCCTCTACCATATTATCTAGAAAAGGAAGAGTGTGCTGCTGTCAGTTGTGACGAAGCAGTCACAGGGAAAATTCTGTGTCTTAGTTGCAAATGCCTTGTCTTTGCATTGCTGTCCCACAGCAAAGAGAGACCAGATCGCTGGGGACTACTTTTTTTTTTTTTTTAATTTCATAAGCAGCATCCTCCTACCAAGTTTAAGATGCAGTGGCTTTTAAAAGTACTTATAAAAATTGCTGGAGATTATTGTCTTGGGACAAAAGGGGCCGGGGCAACTGTTTTCTTTCTGGGAGAAAGACAAAGCTACAGGATAATTTTAAATTGCAGAACCACAATTTTAATTTAAATTGCTTTTTTAAATTTTAAATTGCTGTAGAGTGTGTCATTTTGCCCAAATTTGGTTCTTATTTCAAAACTAGCCCATTTTAAGATTGTCCAAAATCTGCGATGCTTAAGCTATGAATAATATGTTAAAGAATATCATCATCTTCGACTTTTCCAAAAGTTTTTCCAATAGAACAAATAAACCGCATATTTTAGGGAAGGGGGAGGGCTGGTTCTTGCTGGTAAGAAATAAATAAATTACCCACATATGTACACACATACGGACACACACACACAGGCAGGCGGGCAGCTTTCAAACTGTTTTGAAAGAAAAAAACTTCATCAACTATTTGAACTAGGATTCTGAGAGAAATGCAGATCGACACAGTGTGAATATAATGTAATGAATATTTTCTTAAAAATCAGAACGCCACAAATGAGAACAGTAATAGATAACTTATTGACTCTTGAGTGGCATTTTGCAGGCATTATCTTATTTTAGGAATTCCAGTTTTTTAAGAATATGTGAGTTACTTCAGAACAATGGGAACTCTGGCTTTAATTAAAAAACAAAAACAAAACCAAAAACCTTTTGTATAGTCTTTGGGGGAATTGTTATTACCATTTTTAAATCTTACTATTTTCTAGTCACACTCCATTAAGGTAAATAGAGGTGAGGCAGCAAGTGCATCTCCTAGGAAAGTACCCATGTGAAACGGAACCCACTCTGTCTGGAAACACTCCCCACCCCACCACACTGAATTGAGAGCGCCTCCGATACTCTTTTTTAGGCAACTGCATGGGCCAGAAGCTCCTGGAGGCACACACCAGCTCAAAGATGGCAGCTGGCACTGATTATCAACTAAACTGAGCAAAGATAGCACCCCCTTGCTATCGAAGGAGAATGGAAATACCTGATTTTACCCATTGTGACCATCCGGACAGATGGGCTGGAGACAATATTAAATGAGCTAATGCACCAGCCTCTGATCAAAGTGGAAAAACCATGACTTTTTTCTCATGACAAAGACCGTCAGACGAACTTTAGACCAAGCAAGGCCGGCATGGCAACAGACAGGAATGAGGTAAATTCCCGACCAGGGTTACCTTCATCCATGGAAGCTGTCAGTTGGGAAGGCTGCAGAAAAGCACGGTCCACTTCAGGACAAGGAGAGGAGCTTGTGAACAAAGACATCTGAGGAGAGTGTCCTAGGAACACCGCCTGCTCTTCCGTTGAGGTAAAAGAAAGGTCGCTGCTCTTGTCCCCTGAGCCCTGGGCAGAGTCTGCGGTATCCTTTGACAGTGATGTCTCCACCATGGAGTCCCCGAGAAACAATGGTGAGGGGTTGAGGGGCAAGGCTGTGTCCCCTCCAAAGTGGTTCCCACTCTTCCTCACTGTTGGCACCCGATGGGGCGAATCCTGAGACTGTTGCTGCTCACACTGGGAGTTAATCCAGGCAGCTTTGTGCCTCATGAATCTGACGTCTGAGTGGCAAGGAGGCTGGTCAGTGTCCAGGAGGCTGGGGGAAACATCAATGTCGCCAGGGTCATTGTTGTCCCTGTCCCACGAGTCCACTGGAGAATCGTGTCGGCCTGTAGACTGTGACACCATCTTTCTGAGCTCAGGGTGGTGTGAGTTCCACTGTACTACTGGATTAGGGCCTTGAACTCACCCGAATGCCAGTTGTTGGGGGGTGGGGGGCAGACAGCTTATCTGCAACAAGCAAAAACCATTCAAGATAAGTAAGAACACAGTCGTACTTTAAACTCCAAAATCTTTGGAGAAGAAACAAAACATTAGTAAGTTTGTACTTCACCCTGTATAATACAGTTAATTCCCCTTGGATTTGTAAGAAATAACTAAACAAACACATAAATAAAGAGAAATAAGTAAATTAGCAATACAACTAGCAGCAGACACAAGAGGCACGATGTTGGGGGGCGCCTGGGTGACTCAGTGGGTTAAGTCTCTGCCTTGGGCTCAGGTCATGATCTCAGGGTCCTGGGATCAAGCCCCGCATCAGGCTCTCCGCTCAGCAGGGAGCCTGCTTCCCCTTCTCTCTCTGCCTACTTGCGCTCGCTCTCTCTCTCTCTCTCTCTCTGTCAAATAAATTAATAAATAAATCTTTTTTTAAAAAAAAGAAGCATGATGTTAGCACAAGAAAGGGTTTTCAAGGCATAAAGATAATCAAAGATTGTTTTACATAAGGATAAAGGCATATATGCATACTGGTGATAAAACAGATAAAAGTGTAAGACAGCCGTGCATTATTCCAATAAAATTAAATGTCAAACCCCAAATGGGAATACCATGGGGAAGTAAAGACACATTTTCATAGTTTCTTAGTTTCTTGTTTTTATTTAGTCTGTGATTGTATTACAACAAAGTAGACAAGTGGTATGTTAAATTGAAGAGAACCCCTAGCACTAAAAACTTTGTTTTATGTAACTTGGATTATAATACTGAATTATAATCGCAGTAGAAATTTGTGATTCGCTTATAATATCTAAAGAACACACTGCAAATCTAGAATCTATCTTTTCTTTTCTTTTTTTTAGTGGGTGGGGGAGAGAGAGAGAAGGAAGGGGGACACAGGGTGAGGGAGAGAGAATCTTAAACAGGCTCCATTCCCAGTGTGGAGCCCAATGCAGGGCTTGATCTCACAACCTGAGATCATGACCAGAGCCGAAATCAAGAGTTGGCAGCCTAACCTACTGAGCCCCCCAGGCATCCCAGTTGGCTCACTCTTAAGCTCACTGTTTGGCTCCAGTAAATACAGCCATGATTAAAACTCCAAAGAGAAGCACTCTGGTCACCGTAATCACAGGCCCAGCATGTGTCCTTCTACTGCTCCCACTGTCCTTCACTCTATGAGGCTCAAGTAATCGTAACAGCAAAAGCGAAGTCAGCAAGGGGAAGGCCTAGAGATGGAAGCAGTTGGCTTAAGTGAGCTTAGCTTAAAGGAAAGGTAGAGAACAGGGGTGCAAGGTGGTGACTGAAACTTTGGAGTCAGTTTCAGGGCTTTAAAAACTAGTGTTATGTATGCAGATGGCTCCCACCTGGATCCCTGCTCCTGACCTCCCCTGGGACCATGGGCTAGCATATCTTATGCCTATCCAACATCCATCCAGGGGACATGGCAAACTAACACATTCAAAAAGATGCTAGTTTCCTCCAAATCTGCTCCTCCCTGGTCTTCCCATCTCAGGAAACATACCTCCCAGTTGCTGAGGTCCAAAATCTGGAAGTGATCCCTGATCCTATCTTTCCCTAACTCTTTGTCTTTCATCCATTAGCAAGTTCATATCCATAGCTACTGCCCTCATCTAAGTCACCATCTTCTCCCACTTGGGTCTCCTTCCATCTGACCAGTGGGTCTCCCTGCTTCTATTTTTTTCAACTTACAATCAAGAGGTATGTAGAGATCTTTTAAAGCTTACATAAGATGTCAGTCCCCTAGTCATCCATCTGGCCCTTGATAGATCCTATCGAATCTGTAATAAAATCCAAAATTCTTACCTTGTCCTTAAGGCATGACATGATCCTGTCCTGCAGACCACTCTCACTTATTTCTGTCTATCCCCGATAAGTCCCAACCACGCAGCAAACTCATGTCCCACAGGCTCTTGCCCATCCTAATGGTGCTGTTCTAGTCCCTCTACCTGGACCGCTCTTCCCCCAACTGATCATACATCTGACTCCTTTCAGTCTTGTTGCACGTATTGGTTTATAAATTACTTCCTCAAAAAAGTCTTTCCTAACTACCTCTCTTAAAGTAGTTCCCCAGTTACTCCCTATCACATCACCTTGCTTAATTTCCATCATAGTCGTCTCACTTCCTGACATATTTTTAGCTCCTCACTGTCATTCCCCTCTGCCCCCTCCCTATAAGCTCCATGAGAGCAGGGACCTTGTCTGTTCTGCACCAGGCACAGAGCTCTCTCTGGGGACTCAACACGCTTCCGGACTGAAGAAGAAAATCCAACAAACTGGAAATAATATCATGAGCTGGAGAGAGGACTTCTGTGGTAGACACACCTGTTCTGTTACCGTGGCAGAATTATCAGTACAAGGATAGAAGTGAATCCATGTTTCTAATGATAGGACATTTTTCTCACCCAACACTTACAAATAGACCAAAAGAAGGTACATGGGAAAGCTGTACCACAATTCCTTGGGTTTTCTTGACTTCTGTTCTAGGTCAAACCTTTCAAAGTGACACATACACATAGACAGGATACACATAATATGGTACAATACTACATAAGCTCCAAATCACCCCTCACCAAGTATCATGGGCTCTGGTGGCGACTGTCTGAATTCATCTCAAGCGCTTTGTCTTCCTTCCCCAAACCTCAAATCTCACCCACTGCCCCAATTTCTTTTCATCACCCGTCTTTTCCTCTCCAATAATTTTGGGCTTCAACATTACAAATGAGAATCATGACTGTGTTTTCATGGAATGCCCCCCACACAGAAGCCTAGAGCGAGTGAAGCACGCCCATGGGCCCAAACCTGCCAATTCCATCTCATTCCCAGAAAGGACACTAGTAACCACTTCCAACCTCTTCCTATGAATTAACATACATAGGACAGGTCAGAAGATGGGACCCATACACAAGGGCTCATCCTGGACAGAATCTACAACCTTCTTTTTCTCTCAACAAGGTCTTGAGAATGCTTATCTTAACTATCTTACCACTTTCTATTGTATAAATGTATCCAGATTTACTGAGCCAGACTCCTACTGACAGAAATTTATTTTTGGTTTCACTATTATAAAACATATAGCAATGAACATATTTGTCTGTGTTGCTTTTTGTTGATTTTCTCTCACTAGTTCTCTTCTCTTTACAAGTTCTGATTTTAGTTCTGAGTCCATAGCTCCTGATAATGTATTTCCAAGAGAATGAAGCTAGAAGTTGTGTTTTACACTCCGTTCTCTCCACGTCATAGCTGTCCTTGTGTGTGGGAGACAATTACAGAAGTGAATGCATAGCCTCCAACTAATGATAAGTAGCAGTGATCCCTGGGGTTTTTTGTTTTTTTTTTTATAAACAGACTAAAGGTAATAGTTCAAAAAGGGCGATGCTAATTCTGAGCCTCCCAGATGTGGAATTGACTTAACGGCACAAAATGGAGCACAACAGACTTTCTTTTTAAAAATAATTTCAGAAGCAGGTACTTGCTCCACTTCCTTCTAGAAAGATGCTTTTGTTTCACACAAACACCCAGCAGATGTTGGCTTCTCGAGAGGATGACAAGCCGGGCTGGACACTCATTAAGAAGCATGAGTTTCTCTGGGAGGGAGATGGCCACAGGAGAGGGCAATGATTAGAAACAAAGTCCAGGCCCTAGTCCCAGAGGTCAACATCTCCACTGCTTGATCTTTGGTGAGATACCATTATATCGTTGTGCTGCTCGATGTCACCTTGCTTGTGGTTTGTCAATTATTCAATTAAACATATAATTACTGAGCACCTACTACATGGCTGGCATTGTTTTTGTTCTGGAAGCACTGGAGTAAAATAAGCTCCATGATTCCTCCAGTCATTTATGTTCTGGTTAGAAGGGAGACAGTGACTAAACCCAGACATTTACACATTTCAGTGCTGACAGGCAGTCGGTAATATGGGCCCAAACAATGGTTGGCATCTTCCCGAAATGCTTCCGACTGTCACAAATGGGGTTTTTGAATCAGAGAGGCTTAGGTACAAAGATAAAATCAATTTTCAAAAACATTTTAAAGGAGGAGAAATCAGAGCGTGAAGCTTACCGCCATTTCTATTGAGATTTTCCTGTTGAGGTAGAGCACGGGCCAGATTACTAGTTAACATACGTGCAGCAGCAGAGGTCCTAGACAAGAGAGAGACTCCCAGATCCCCCCTGTCCAGTCATTCTGGGTGATTCTCTGCCCCTCAAGATCAGTGGTTCTGCTGAGAATGACCGTATCATGAGGGCAACCTTAGAGCCAAAGGGTTGCCTGCAAAGATGCCACTTTTGCAAAAGGGGTGGATGACTCAGTTGGGCAGGAACCACCGTGACCTCTATAGTGACCTCACAAAAGTCTTTCAGACCCTAACCGGCCAGCACTTTGATGGCAGAAGAGCAGCTCTTAGCTGCTAGGACCCCTAACAATTGGATGAATATACATGAGCATGTCAGATTTAGGATTTTAGATTTTCTCTGCCTGAACACTAACTACGGACTGAATACTTACTGGGAGCATTAAAGACTCATCTTAAATGTCGCCTTCTCAGCAACTCCTCCATGGCCCCCCATGTAAGTCATGGCCACTGTCCCAGCCAGTAATTCCTCTCCCCCTACCCACCTCTAGTTTTCTTCTTACTCCTTAGCATGACTCCCCATTTCATTCGATCTCAAAGACTGACACCTGCTAGAATGTAAAATCTCTGAGGGTAACTTTAAAAAAATTGTACTTGGGACACTACTTTGTTCCCAGAAGCTAGAACAGGGGCACATCATAGGTGCTCAGCAAATATATTCTTTGAGTGTGAATAAAATGAAGGAAGGAATGAATGAGGGGCGCCTGGGTGGCACAGTGGGTTAAAGCCTCTGCCTTCGGCTCGGGTCATGATCTCAGGGTCCTGGGATTGAGCCCCACATCGGGCTCTCTGCTCAGCCGGCAACCTGCTTCCCCCCACCCCCGACCTGCCTGCCTCTCTGACTACTTGTGAACTCTGTCTGTCAAA